TTTTTTTTTTGTTTTTTTGTTTTTTTAGATTTGGTTTTATTCCACCTCCCCTCCTTCTCTTTTTCTTTTGAAACATAAAAAGTGGATTTAATATTTTTTTTTAATAGTGAGCAGAGTTGAATTTCTTGTCTTTTAATATATATATCAGCAAACCACAGAAAATACAGATGGGTTGGAGAACAGAAAGCAAACCCAAATAGTTTTTTTTAATTATTATTATTTATATATTCTATATATTATTAGAAAAACTACTTTTTAAATAAAAAATAGAAAAACAACAAAAAAGCAATGGATGTCTACTTGATAATAGAACTGTTTCTAGAGAACCACTGTGGGCGGACTCTGTCAGGGGACAAGGAAACCCTTGATGTGATGGCTTCTGCATTTCCAGATTTTGCACTTACTSTAGCATGTGGAGTCTGGCTCTTCTCGTACACCTGCTACGCTACAGCCTGAAAGTACAAGCAGCACCATTGAAGACCATGACCTTGGGGAACACATTTCCATCTCCTTTGGACACCTTTACACTCAATAGATCTCTTCCTCCCTGCACCCCTTCACATCTTCCCCACACCGTTCTACTTTTTTTGTCTTTTCCTTCATCTTTCACTTGATGGACAGCAATTTCCAAGATAGGGATGGAATATGAATGCCAAGTCATAGACATCACAGACAAAACAGATGGAGGAGCAGAATCAAGGAAGAAATGACATGGAAAAATACCTCACCCATACTTTTTTCCATTTTTAAATTTCAATTCACGGCATTTATTCCTGTGTGCCCTGGTTTTTCTCTCTGTAGTGTCTTGTGAGACACTTGATTTTCTTTTTAATAACTTCTTTTGAAATAAACCAAAGCAATACTAATTAAAGTTCCAAGGGCAATGGAGAAGAGAGTGACTCCCTTCCCAGCGGCTTTCCCAGAAAGGAGGAAACATGCAGCAGGATTTGAAAGGTATGTCTGAGCTGAAATGTCTTTCACTCAATTGTGAAATTTCTGTGCCCTGGATTTTCAACAGACCCTTGACTGAGCTTTGTTGTAGGAGCAAGTCCCATGGAAATTGTATTATAARTATGTGCCACATTCACGCCCGTGGTGAAGCTAATGGAAGTTTGTGGAAGCAGAATCCAGATTGTGTACAATCAGAAGTGATGCAAAAGGAGTCAGTGTATAGTTATGTTTTGCTGTCCTAATGCAGGCAAAAATCTCCCTGGAGCAGGGGCAAGGTTAGGTTCTAAAGATCTATTTTTACTGATGTACATAACACCAACAGGATGAAATCATGACCTCATTTGGAGCAAAGGCAAGAGACATTTCTCTGGACAATGCCTAATGCTTAAACTGTAGGTGTGTGTTATTGATACCAGAGTAAAATCTCAGCCTTGTAATAAAGAATTTGAAGATGTATAATGAATGAGGCCAAACCAAATGGATTCCATTTTTCCTGTTTCTTTGCTAGGGTAGCCTGTCTGTGAGAACAATTTCAACTCCCTCCCCCACCCTCCAACCTTGTAGAAAAAAGAGAAACAATTCAGTGTCTTAATTTTTTTATTGTTCTCTTTAGACATGGAATGAGCTGTGGCCAAATTGTGCTTTTAGGTATAGAGTCATACATCCAGAATATAAGCTAAGTGATGTCTAGATTACATTAATATTSTGCCTTCAGAATGTTGTTAGAAAACATTACAAATACTCTGCGTGTGTATACCAAAGGACAGAGCCATGCACACTTACCAGGAGAGAGCCTTGTTTGAGCTGATATTTTGATAGGCCTTTTCTGTTGCCACTGTGTTTCTCCTGATTTATTATAATCCATCAAGTGTCAAATCAATTGTATTTTGACATAATGCTGTCAATGAGAAGTATACTTTAACTTATAAAAACATTCATTTCTTCCACAACCAGTCCTTTTTTTCCCTCTGAATTAGTGCAAGATGAATATATAATGTTTGGCTACTCTTTTGTATTTGCTAAAGCTCAGTCTTTGCAGCACCTGAATTAGATAGCTGAAACCTACTCAAGTGCATCTTTCTGAAGAACTCCAATCACTGCATCAACTGCAGAACAGGCATACTCTGAAGGGACTTTTTTCCAAGTGGAGTTCTTAACATTGTATTYTGTGACAATGCTTAACGCATTCTGGGCTCTTTTGGAATACAAACAATAATCAGACGTCCATAATTCATTAAGTCTTGACTTAGTTTCACAAATGCAGTTACTATAACAATGCATACAGTCTTAATCCTTTCGCAAYCAAACCACCCATCTTTGTGACAACTGAGTAACGCAGTACCCTGAGAAAGAGGCCACAACAGCTCACAAAGTACATAAAAGTTGCCAGCTGACATTTATTACAGATAGTGTAGAAAAATATCCTCCCTSTTCTTTATGTCATTAATGTGTGTATGGATGGTCACTCGTTCAATACAGTCCTGAGAGAGCAAGTAAGGTAAAATTAATTCACTGTTACAGAGTCTGAGTAGTTCTTGGATTCCTCAAGATGCCTTATTAGGTTGGGATAACCAACATGAGTTTAGTCCAGCAGGCTGAGCAGTGTGGTACTGACTATAGGAAAGCATTCATCATAGCAAGGAAATTAAGATGTAGAGTTGGAAGAGAAGAGTATTTGTTTAAGCTAGGTTGTAAAGTAGTGTTAATGGTGGATATGGCATGGGGTATTGATRTGGAAATTAAATAGTCTCAGGACATGTAGTGCTGGAGTGAGGGCTGGGAACAGGAAAAGAAGGTTGGTAGCTTCTAAGTTGAAGGAGGATGAAAGCAAAGCAAAGGGGCTACACCAGACCTTCTCATGAGGGGAAGATGGCAGTGTTGATGAGGCAGAAAACATACAGGAGAAGATTTCATAAGTGCAATAAAAAAACCAAAAAAACTCTGACACTGACATAACCAGTTCAGAAATGAGGGAACTGTACTGTATCAATTTTATCTTAATTTTRTCTTATTCTTGCTGGAGAAGAAGGAGAAAGATTCTAGAACTTTGTCAAAGGAGCCATCTTTGTGGTTTCTTGGTCCCATCCCCCCACCACTGAAAAACCGGACTGAGCAAAACCAGGACATGGGCACATAGATCCTAAATCAAACTAGGGAGGCATAGAAAAAGTTTGCAATGTGAATTCTGCATTGTATCTAAAAATTTATGTTTGAAATCAGAAAGAAATATGATGCTCTTTATGCACCAGTGATTTCAGCAGCTCAATKAAACTTTCTGTTCTTCATAAAATCTTCAAAGGTGTAGTTTTTCAACTAATCACCACCCTGGCTATTCCAGTTCTCCTCCAAAGATGTCCTTCTTATTACAGGGAGGCTGGCACAAGGCTGTCCAAAGATTCTTCTGAAACATGCTCCCACACAAACCATGTACCAAAATAAGACATCCCCAATGTGAAATGTGAATAAAGGGGTGTTTCATTTCAGGCCCTAAATACAGACTTTTCTGTGTTTAATCATATAAGCTGTCTCCTCAGGCACCTTTCCACTGTTCCATACTRAAGGATCTTAGAAAACACACATAGTTTCCTGAGTTGTCCTCTGCTAACTCTGATTCACAGATGGGAGCCGGAGAATAAAGGAAGTAGCATGCTGTTTGAGCAGCTGATAAGGGAGAAGAAAGGCAACATGGAGTGTGCACTGATCCTTAGCCTATTTCCTTTTGAGACATTTGATTAGTTGAAATTTTAGCAGGGGCAGACCTCATCTCTTTCATGAAAGCAGTATAAAATTTCAAGCGTGATAATATACATTGAGATAACTTTAAGAAAATACTTTAAGAAAATAATTAAGAAGTAAAAAGAGGACCAGGCATGTGGTGAAACAGGAATGGAACTGAAATCTGACTTTCTTTACTTTGCATATCTTCCCTTCACTCAGGCAGCCCCCAGTTTTGTGGGCTGGATATTTATTTCTTGAATATGTAATGGTGCTTGGAATAACATCGTATGTATGTRGTAAGGTCATAAATGATGAGCCTGGGCTGCTGAAACAAGGGCCAGAGAGAACTTTACCACTGACTTCAGAAGGATATTACCACTGGGCTTTCTTAGCTATTGCTTTATTGAATGAAATCTCCCTGTTAATACGCTTGCTGCTATGGTGTAGACAAGCTCTGAGATGGCCATTTGTTTCAGCAGAATGTGTTATTAGAATCCCCTCCCCGCATTGTTTTGCCTTTGAGCTTTCACATTAGTTATTCATTTTGAGTTCCAGTTTGCCATTTTACAGACTACAGCTTAGGCTCTTGATTGAAGACAGAGACTCAGTTTGCTGCTTGCTGATGCATGGAGCAAACAAGATCTGCACCCACAGAATCACTGCGTCCAGGCTGTGCCAGGGCACCATTGTGTTCTCTCCTGCCCCCTTTGCCTTTYTTTGGTTAATTCTTGCTATGGTATTTTGAGATGGGCCCTAAAAKAATAGTTCAAATACCATAAAATGATGGAGTTTTCAAAGCCTGACTCTTCATGCAATTTTCCTCTTCCCCATGGCAAGCAGTTTTACTGAATCAGTTCCTCAAGCAAACATTGTATTGACCCCAYTGGGAGTAATTTTATTATAAAAAGTGCAAAATATTATGCCCAGTGTGTTTTGTGCTGTAACATATGGACATGTTTTCCAATAAACACCCATTTCATGTTCTCCTTTTTTTTTTTTCCTTATTTTTATGAAATTTGTAGCTCTAAGTAAAGTATGAGGCACATGCATGAGCTCATACTGGTATGGAGTTTTTTTGACAAACCTCACAGGTTTGTCAGCCAGGCTGAATTTTTGCCGACTGAGCATTACAATAAACCATACCAATCTTTGCTCTCTTTGCCAGCTATCTACCAGTGTTGGAAAAAAACCCCAACCTGTATAAATATAATAGATTGCTGAAATTCAGTCAGAACTGTTTTCATGTCCCTGTCTGTATTTCCACCAATGCTAAGTTGCCAGTTTCAGAGAAGACAAGTTGTTATAACATTTAGAAAAAAMCCCAGCTCTTGGGATTTCCAGGTCTGGTAGCTCCGTTAAGCGGATGCTGCCAGTTCATATCTTTGACTTATTCTTTTGGTTGCTGTCAGCTCCTAAGATTTTGGACCTTCATGTAGTCCAGAGCTGATATGAGAGATGTGGGGAAGACATGGGATGAGGCACTTGCATTTTGTGGAAATAGARATTATTTTATTTGCTATCTAATCCTGCTCAGGATTTAGCAGTATGTAACTTAGTCAATTCACAGAATAAATGTAATGCAAAATGCAATCTTTCATTCCTTCCTTCCAGAAGTTATCGCATTGCTGCCACCCCATGTGTATCATTCAGACTTCTGAAAATGTCATTTGTGCCATGCTGCATATGCTTGTGGCTCCCTACAAATAATTAGTAATATAGCAAGGTAATTMGAGCAGGATTTCATAAACAAAGGTCTCAACCTCTAGTGAAGAGACATCTAAGCTGAAAGATGAAGGTTATTAAATGATGTTCCCAATAAGAAATTTTGACAGTGTTCAGTGCCTTTCTTTTGGATATGCCTTTTCTTATCCTATTTGTTTGCTTTGTATTCATTTATGGCTTCCACAGTCAGTTGAAACTGAGTCTGTTGAGCTATATTTTCAAAGAACTAGAATGCARGCAGTGTTGGAAGTTTGGTTTGTGCAGTTTCTGGTTTTTTTTTTTCTGAACACTTGCTTTTGTTGTCTGTTTGAGTTTGTTTAGTTTTACTTTGTATTGCTTTTCCTTCTGCAGCCAGCCCTGTCATGGATTCCAGCAGCCTTCAAGCAAGACATTTCAGAAGAAGACTGAGAGAAGCCAGGATGCTTTGATACTTCTTTCCTTGCCCTGACTCTTCCGTACCCGTGTTCCACCTGGCACAGGAGCCTGGACTGTGGGAAGTTGGCTGCCAGCTGTKGAGAGAAGTTCTGGGGATGCCCTAAGCTGGTGCAATACAAAGAAGTTTTTTGAAGTCTTGATTTCACTTTCTTTTAAGTGTGTGTATAAACCCAGGTCAGACTGGAATTGATCTACAGTAGAACTGACTGAAAAACAAACAAACTGAAAAAGACAACTATTTTATTTATTTCGATATTTAAGAAAGAAGTGCTGAAGTTGCACAGTATTTTTGTTTGAAATACATTTTACTTCAAATTTTAAATGCAATTTTGTGAAGACATGAAATTTTAAAAAGCACTTACTGTAAAATAAAGACTGAATATTTACTTTAAGGAAAAATCTTTTTTTAAATAATGAAAATAAAGGTCAACTCTGCTCTCTCTCTTACTTTAAAGAAGCCATTCATACATGTGCTGGGTATCTTTGTTTTTTGAAAATTGGATGTGGTAAGTGAAGATTGTTCTGGTTTATTTTCTCCTTAATAATATTATCCTGTTAGATGCTTAAAACTTACTTTGCTGTACTGTGTTATGCATAAATCTGAACAAAAACTGTTGGAGCAGTGAAGACCAGGCTCAGTGGTTGAATTTTTTCATTACCAGATTTTGTGTCCATTTCAAAGGACTGTCTTCTCCTAGTAGGATTGATGTGTCTCTTTTGCATGGTAAAAGAGATTTGCTCTTGAGCAACTCTGTGAAATACTTCTGCTGAAAGAGGGGTTTAAAAATTGAAAACAATTCTGTTCATTTTTGGGGKTTTTTTTGTTGGTTTTTTTTCTTTTTTTCTTTGTTAATTCCATAGTTAATTGTGAGTTGGTTGTAAGGGAAGCATCTAAATGTTAAGTGCCCTTGGCATGGATCTTTCTGTCAAGGGTGATGTCGTATGTAGAAAACTTGTGTACTTCAGCCCTTTCTGAAGAGGGAGTGGACTTTAAAAAGCATACATTTGCATCCACGTCTGCAACAYAGGTTACTAAGCAGGAGAAAAATATGAGTTCCCGCAGCTTCAATCCTAAGTTGTCCTCTGAGGCAGTGGTGAGGGATGTTCACGTCCCAAATTCTAAGTCGTTGGGCATTTTCTTGGTGAAAGAGGTGTTCTCTTTCGTATGAGAGGGTTTTGTTGGCTGCCAGRTCTGCTCCCAGTGGATAGCTGAGGTCTGTTCAGTGTCATGTATGATGCAGTCTAGAGGGATGCAGGATAGYCTTGTGTCCTAGGAGAAGGGTATTGGACTTGGCTCTGTCTGGCACCCCTGTTACAGAGGAGAAGCAAACTGAGGGCAAACCATACCAACAATTATTGGGAAAGACCTTCAGGGTACAGGCAGGAATAAAGTAATTTTGTTAATGTGGCTTAATTGGCTTTCAGAATGAAAAAGCTATGTCTACAATGCATGCTGACTAGGTGAAGCTGACAAAAACCTGATACTGCATTGTGTTTCTTGCACACCTTGCACCCACACTCACCTCACTGAGAGGTTTCCATGTGTCAGTAGCAGCAGATTTTTTTTACTCTTCTCCCTTTCCCTTCTCCCACTTCTTCCCAGATTAACACACATAGTCAAAAATAATCATGTAAGGTAGTCCTGCTCTAACTAAATTAAATGACAATTTGTGTCCTAATTGGGCTTTTTAGCAGGTTGGGTTTGCTTTGTTCATGTTGTTGGTTTCTAAACTTGCAGTGGTGAACTGCCTCTAGAGAAAAAAAAAAGAAATAAATTTCTATTTCATCCAAATATAAGACGCACAACTGTAATGAAGATTTGAAAACTGTAGGGTCTGTGTTCAGTTTGTGTAATATTCCTTCCAAATAAAAGTTCTGCTTCCAGTGTCCCTACTGTATATTCCTCTGTAAATATTACTTTCCAAGCAATTCTGCAAGGTCTTTTTTAGTGCAAAAATTCTTCTTTTAAAAAGACATTGTTAAGTAACATACATGTACATTTACTTTTCTAAGCTCTCCATTGTTTATAATACTCTCTTTGAAGCTTAAAATAAAACTTCCTCCTCTATTGATTTTGTTTCCCTTTTCCATTTTGTAAATTATGACTTTTGTCCCTGGATTTTGTTTTGTATTTCCTAGTGAACCATGACATTAACCAAGAATTGTCTTAATTTTTCTACTTTACTTTCTCTTCTCCATTCATTGGACTGCAGAAACTGGTCCTGTTGCTTGCTATAGTGAAGGTAGGCAGGAAATAAAAACTGGTTTCGTATAGGACTTATTTTAAGAGTGTTTTCTAGCATTTGGTGATAATACAGGATCTTCCTAAATGTGTTTGTATTTTAATAGCCTTCTTCATGAGATCAGTAGAGTTGCATTAAGTTAATTTAGAGTCAGAGGTGGTGTCTAAATTATATGATAGGTGTTGCATAGATTTTAGTGGGACTGCCTTAAGGAGTCCTGCCCTACCTATGCTATTTCCAGTCAAGTCCCTGGATTAACTGGAAACCTTTGCATTTCACAGTGCTGGCATGAACCTTCCTTTTCCCTTTACATGTATTAGATTAATGACATTGCTGTATAGAATGGAAAGAGAAAGGGGAAATACTATTTCAGATTAGATGTTTTCTTTGTAGGAAACTCTCTGTGTGACCTCTTCCCTAATACGCCTTGCTGTAATTTTTACGAAGCTCTGTTATACAGATGGTCTCCTACCTGCCTGATTCTTAACATCTGTGTGTGACAGACTGTGTGTCTTTGTGGCAGGTAACTAACTATTCTTGGTCTTCTTTTATAGGCTTTCCCTATAATATTGTATTTTCACAGGTGTAATTTCAATTTCCATTAGTGTTTTTTCTTCCCTCTTTCTTCAGGTCAATATGACTTGAAAACTTTACTCCTTGCCTTCAGACCTTATCTTTACCTGTGCAAGGTCTTTGGCCAATTCATTGGAGGATGGAGGAAACAAAAAGGCRGTTTCAGCTGCCTTTGCTGTCTTCAGTCACTGTGGCTCTTTGGAACCTGTTTGGGATCTGATAGAACAGCTCATGGACTCCTTACTGGTTGTCTTCAGCTGTTCTTTGGCTAAAAAGGTCTTTCCTTCCTTTTCACTTGTGCACTGGGGACCAAAGGTAGCTGAAATGGTGGGGTAGGTTCCAGCTGTATCTGTGAGCTGTGCTGAGAAGGCTCCTGTGATGGTCTCCTTGTAGTGCGCGCTGAGTGAAAGGATCGCTGCTTTTACAGCCCCTCCTAGAAACTTCCATTTTCCTTTCTGTGATTTGATCACAGMTATTCCTACAATGATCTGAGCTGCAGGCCTAGAAAACTACTCTTTCATAAGGATTTCAGGGGAGGTGGGTAATCTTTTCCTACCTGAAAGCAGAGAAAGGAGGGGAGGGTATGTGATGGCTCCTGGTCAATGCTGCTGTTTCTGTTCTTCTCTAAGCTTCTCTTGAGATTTCTGCTGTGCTGCAGAGGACAGAGAAACCTACACAGAGGTTGGACTGAGGGCAAAGCTGAATACTGACAGAAGGCAAGAAG